GAGAGAGAGAGAGTGAGAGAGTGTGTGAAAGGGAATATATAAAGAGAGAGAGAGAGAGAGAGAAAGGGAATATATAAAGAGAGAGAGAGAATGTGTGAATGGGAATATATAAAGAGAGAGAGAGTGAGAGAGAGTGTGAAAGGGAATATATAAAGAGAGAGAGAGAAAGGGAATATATAAAGAGAGAGAGTGTGTGAAAGGGAATATATAAAGAGAGAGAGAGTGAGAGAAAGTGTGAAAGGGAATATATAAAGAGAGAGTGTGTGTGTGTGAAAGGGAATATATAAAGAGAGAGAGAGAGTGTGTGAAAGGGAATATATAAAGAGAGAGAGAGAGAGAAAGGGAATATATAAAGAGAGAGAGTGTGAGAGAGAGTGTGAAAGGGAATATATAAAGAGAGAGAGAGAGAGAGATTAATAGACAAAGTTTCGGTATAGACATGAACGTTCCTTCAGAAGGGAGACATTAATGAAAGTTGAAGGAAAGAGAGAACGTGAGTGAAGTGATGAATGAGTATAGACAGGCTAGAAATCGAGAAGGTAAACAAAATATTACCTACATGCCTATATAGGCAGGTGGGTCCATTGCAACCACACCCATCTGCCCGTTGTGGAACAATGGACCCCAGCCTCACCATGTTAGTAGCTGATTTGTGTCTTCTATACAGGTTGATTTTTACGAGGTGGAATTACCGTTTCCACTCCTAATCCGTTTTGAATACACAGCTTTCCTTCTCCCATACTAGTTGCCAACTAAAGCCACAGATTACACGCTAACCATTACTTAGGGAAGAAGATTCTTACTGTTTTCAATGGTATTTGCGCGAAGATGAACACGGCCGTAATTTGAACTCGGTATACCATCACAGGTTTCGCATTAATAACCATTAAGCTGCGTACACACACACACACACACACACACACACACACACACACACACACACACACACACACACACATACGCATACTGATTGGTTGACTGATTTGTTTTTACGGTTTATCACCCTTTATACGGTTATTTAAAGCCAAAACATTTTTGGATTGTAAAATTTTTTTAGGGATAATAATTTTTTGATTCATGTCCTACTATTTAATCCATAGCTGGGAGGAGAAGAGGTGGATTATTTGCGCGTCAGTGAATATAACGAGCCCGAGTGAAATTCAAACTCGGCTCATCGATGTTCCATTCCGAGGCGTTATCACTCGCAGATCCATGTTTACAGTACCTGGTATTCCCAAGCGACCTCCATCTAAGTACTCTCAGGCTTGACATTGCTTAACTTTGATTGTACGGAAGCCAGTGTTTCAATATGATGTGGCCGTAAGCCTTTTTTTTTCTCTAACTACGCAGTGAGGGTGTAACTATTTGAAGGTGTGGCTATTCTGGCCGTTTAAAACCTCTACGTAGGTAACTATCATTATCTGTCTCTATTTCTGAGATTGTAAGTATTTATCGTTATATCTGCCAGGAAAAGACGAGAGAGAGAAAAGATCAATGAATTGGCGCCATTGACCCCACCATTGACATACATCAACATTGCAATAGCTTACAGTGACCTAAGAAAAGTTTTTAGCCAGGAAAAATAAGCTACAAAATTTAATTACGTAATCCCAACTCAACATAAATAAACAGTATTTGGAATTAGTATGGAGTAAGTCCTCCATTTACTAGTTTCAGTACATATATTCGATTTTTCATCGATTTGATCAAGTTATCAGCAATCGTCTGATCGATATTTTGCCACTCCTTTAGCAATGTTTCCTTAAAGGTTGCCACTGATGTGTTTTTGGTTGCACGCTCTCAGATTTTTCGGTCAAGGTGCTCCCAAACGTACTCTATTGGATTCATATCAGGATTTTGGGCTACCCATGGCAGTGACTTGATTCCTTGCGATTCCTTCCAGGCCTTTGCTACTCTACTCGTATGACATGGCGATCCATCTTCTTGAAAAATGATTGGTTTAAAAGTGGGAATAGTGCTTTCTCTGATATTTGTCAGTGTTTTGGACCATTCAACCGCTCGTCAAAAGAATCAGCTCAGCTTTCCCTCCAAACCAGACAGCGTCCACATCATTACTCCAATCCCTCCATATTTCACAGTTGCCTGCAGGCATTCAGTGTTCCAATTTCTGATTTCTCCAAACATAAACCTGTTTCGTATTCGAATATTGGCAGAATTTACTTACATCTAACCAAATTAAAGACTGCTAAAATTCATAATTTTTGCTCTCGAATTCCATACGCCTGTTTCTGTTAACATTTGAAATCAAGGGCTTCTTTCTTGAAACTCTTCTTTGATAGCCTAGTTCTTTCAGAATCTTTCTCGTCACATATGGCAACATTTCCATGCTGTCGGCGTCATCTTTGTCGCTCTGATGCCGGTTTCTGGTGACTTCCCTGTTCAGAGCCCTTTTCGTTCGCTCAGACACGATGCTTGGTCTTCCTGAACGTTGTACAACACGACGATGGCATTCTTCATTAAATTTATTGACAATATTATTAACCGTTTGATAATTAACCTGGAAAAACCTAGCAATTTCTTTATTTGACTTGCAACACTGATGCCATCCTATTATTTGCCCTCGTTGAAATTCACCAATTTCCTTATTTCCGCGAACTTTCATTGCAAATCATAAGTCAGCTATCGTTCATAGATGAGAGTAACTTCATACTAACACGGTATTGTCTGAAAAGAAAAAGAAGAGACGTTATTACACAAGCCAAAATTGTTGTAATCAAGGGTGGCTAAAAACTTATCATAGCCCACTGTACACTATTTACATTGTTCGAATTCATCTTTATTGACATATTTACGACGTTCGACCGTTGTACGCCCCGGCCTTCGTCACGTGATATACGTTGAAATTTCGAACCGATCCCTTCATTTCCTCCACCGAAGGTACATTGTTCTAGTTCCACGTCCCATGCCTTTTCGGGATATTTTTAGTATACTCAACTCTCCAGGTTTTTTTGTCCCCATCTCCTGTGGCCAGGTATTGAACTTTGGGTCAAATCACTTTTGGTTTACTTCAAACAACACTTATATACATGTGTCCTTGGGGACATCAGTGAGTGAATTTCGGGACTGATTTTTTGAAACTTACATAAATAAAAAAAAAAAAAAAAATCTTGGACAGTTGAATTACTGAAAAGAATTCTCTGAAAACTGAAATATCCAGAAAAGGTACGGCACGTGGATCTAGAAAAATCTATACCCGTGGACTAAATAAAGGGTTCGGTTCGAAATTCCAGCGTGTATCACCTGAAGAAGGCCGGAGCGTACAACGGTCGAAACGTCGTGAATATGACAATAAAGATGAATGCGAACAGTGTAAATAGTGTAAGCTATTGTAATGTTAAGTCTATAGGGAAAATGTTTTCTGTCGTTTTTTCCGAAAGTTAATGTCAGATTCTTTATATTTTTATTTGTTCAATGTATTTTGACTAATAAAAGATATCATCTACGTACCTCACGCATAAATTTGGGTTGGCTTGATTTCTAAAATTTTCGAGGCAAGGAATGTTATCATTGAATCGAATCAAAAGAAGATCCTATCGTGATGAAGTCAGTCTGTGCATAGATGCTACCAAGATTCTCGTAAAAGTGAACGTGTGTAATGCAAATTAGAAAAAAAGAAGGCTAAGAGGAAGAATTTTAGGTGATTCGAGTGAATGACGCTGGAAAGAGTATTGCAATATATATTGGTAATTTCTTTAAAGGGAACCTTAGTAAAAAAAACGTACTCAAATTCTAATGAACCTAAAACAGAGTTATTAGTTTTCGTCGAGTTTAAAATTGGGGGAAATCGTGGTGTGATTTAAAGCTATATTTTTCAGAAGACAGGATAAAATAGATAAATTGTCGACTAAATTGGGTAAAAATGAAAATAACATTGACATCGCATTTTAACAGATATATTTATCGAAATTACTGAAAAATATCTAGAAATACTGAAAATAAATTTATTCAATAAAATCGCCATTGGCTTCAACCATTTTGGGTCTTTTCCCAATTACCAAACCACTGTCTACGGCGTTGAACATTTTGATGAAAATCCATTTTTCATCACCAGTCAGAAGTCTATCCAAAAAGGGCGAAATGAGTAGATGTCAGCCCTGGATTTGCTGTTGACTTCAGACAATTTATGAGGCACCCAGTTTCCAAATTTAGGAACCTTCCAAGTTGTTGAAGATGACGATGAATAGTTGTATGGTTTGAACGAATCTTCATTGCCAATTCTTCAACTGATGCTACAGGATTATCTTCAGGTGATGGTGCAAGGAACTTATCATCAAGCTCAAATGGACGCTCTGTTTGGTCATCATCGTCAAGGCTGAAATTTCTCCTGAATTTGGCAAACCATCTTCTGCAAGTTCTTTCATTCAGGCATTCTTCTTCAGCTGATTGAATATTTCGATTCGATTTGGCTACAGAGTTCTCTTTTTCAAGCACATAAAAGCGTTATGTGTCATAAATATTCAACTATAAGAAGCCAATTTATGAATGAAATGTTCACTGAAAATTTTTATTTGAAAGATTTCAAGTAGTGAATATATCTTACTTTTCAAGGCGATGGCGAGCAGGTAAAGCATGCTAGTAAATAAATAGATATGAAAAGAATGAGATAGATAGATAGATAGATAGATAGATAGATAGATAGATAGATAATGAGAGAGGGAGAGGGAGAGGGGATGAGCATAGACAGATAGAGAGAGAGAAAGATGAACATGGCTAGATAGAGAGAGCTGGGTGTGAACATAGAAAGGAAAATAGATAGATAGATAGATAGATAGATAGATAGATAGATAGATAGATATGAAAAGATTGTGATAGATATATATGAACAGATTGAGATAGATAGATAGATAGATAGATAGATAGATAGATAGATAGATATGAAGAGAAAGAGACAGATACATGGATATCAAGAGAATGAGATAGATAGAAAGATAAGTAAATGATAAGACAGATAAATAAATGGATGAAGAGAATGGGATAAATCAATAGATAGAAATGAAGAGACATAGATAGATAGATAGATAGATAGATAGATAGATACATACATACATATGAAGAGAATAGATAGAAAGAGAAAGAGATAGACACCTGGATTTCAAGATAATGAGATAGATAAGAAAAAGATGAGATAGATACGTCAATAGATAGATAAATAGATATATAAAGACTGAGGTAGATAAATAAATAGATGTAAAGAATGAGATAGATAGATAGATAGATAGATAGATAGATAGATAGATATGAACAGAATGGGAGAGATAAATGACTGAAAGAGGGAGAGTAGGATAGAAGCTGAGAGAAGAGGAAAAGCTAGACGTACGAACAAAGATAAAGACTAGGTGATATATATATATATATATATTTTTTTTTTTTAACATACAACGTGTGTTAGCACGTGCGATATCCTGTCTTCATCAGCCGCCGATCACGGTTTCGGTGGCTATGGCGGGACCGCCACCCCTGGCGCCACCAGCAGCGTTTGACACCAGGCAGGATATGAAGATAAGCTAATTGTTCCTTTAAGTAAAATCTATCTGCAATGAAAGTTTCTTGAACGCGTTTGCTGTTATTGACGCGCTCGTAAAAGTCGTTATAGACGACCACGCAAATATCTCACTTGCGCATATTAGGTCGTGATGTTGCGCGCATTCTATTTGCTTGTTTTGATCTCGACCAAATCCACCTTGACGCGTGTTGAACAGTTTTTTGAAGGCGATGCGAAACGCTTTTCAACCAACGGCCAGTGATGCCTATTTTTGAAAGAAAGGAAATGACCGAATGTCCCAGGAACCCACGACACCCAATCTCGATAGGCATCACGTGACACGTCCAACCATTTTCCATACATTCGGCACGCAGTGACTCGTACCGGTTTTTCTTTAGTTCGTGCGCCTCCACCCTGTTCTCTTCCCAAGGGAGTGTTAGTTCTATTAGGAAGACAATCTTTTTAGAGTCGGACCACAACACAATGTCGGGACGCTTGTCTATCTGTGCGATGTGTATTGGAAATTTTAAGGATATCATTAGATCCACTAAAACCTTCCAATCACTGGCACCACTCAGCAGCTTTTTATTGGGGGTTGTTTGTTTTTTCTTTGCAGGGCATTCCCCTTCCTTATGGAATTCAATCTTAGTTTCCTTGGATGCCACAAGCTGTTGATTTGCTGTCTCACATTGTGTTCTTATTAGATCCCTTATCACCTCTAATACCTTGTTGTGTCGCCACGTGTACATATGGAGCAAATGTGGACAAGCAGAAAGCACATGACGCAAGGTACCTCGGTCTTTTTGACACGCAAAACAGAGATCTGTATCTGTGTATCCCCACATTTTCAGGTTTGTTTCATTTGGGAGAAGATCGTATGTAGATTGAAGAAGGAAAGATATCGCCAATGGTTCCATCGCAATTAATGAATTCCACGAAAGTTTAATGGGCTCGATTTCATTCCATGTTGTCCACTTACACTGTTTCGCTTGAGTAATAGCAGTAGCTATTCTATGTTCCTCTTCGAACATTTTGATTTCTTCAACTACCATACGCCTTTTTCCCTTTGCATTCTCCTTGGAGAAGTATTTGTGTGTCGTGTTAACCAATCCAGCCCGATTTTTCTGAATCACGCCCATGATATCTCTGACTCACAGGCTGGTTTCTGCTTCTTGTGTGGCCTCTGCAGCTGACCACTTTGTACCAGATTTAATCTCTGGATGCGCCTTCCGTATGCAATCATCAGCTGAGTCTCTCATCATCATATGAAGGCGTACCTTCCCAACCTTGAATTCCTTCACCAATGAATGTATAGGTAGCTGCAGATGTCCGGAGTTGGTATATAGGCCCACTTTCGAAAAACAAGGTGGAACTCCAAGCCACTTACGCAAGTACTTATTGATCACTTGCTCAATGCGCTCAATACGAGATGCAATTTCATACATTTGCAGAGGCCACAAAAGGCGGGGTAATAGACCATGTTGATAGCACCACGCCTTCATTTTGCCAGGCAGATAGGTTCTATCGATCGAAATTAAACCCTTTAGAGTTGATTTATGAACCTCCGTACCCCGATGTCGATCAGTCAGTGGGATTGTATACAGCCGTCCGAGGCTCTTTACTGGCATTTCCTTAACTGTTGGTATCGTGTCATCACCAATTTTAAAGTGAATCTCCTTAACAGATCCCCTGACTAATGACAGGCTTCGACTTTTCTTGGGCCTTACCTTCATTTTCGCCCATATGAAAAGATCGTGGTACTTTCCTAACAGGTTATTGGCATCAATTTTAGAAGAGACGAGAATTGTGATATCATCCATAAAATCCCTAGAAGGGGGAAGGACTGGCTGTTCTTCAGTCATCACTCCTTTGGCTGTGGTTGATGCCCGTCGTAAAATCAATTCCATGGCCAAAACGAAAAGAAGCTGGGAAATCACACAGCCCATCATGATACCGATCTCAAGTGGTTGCCACTTGGTAGTATAATTTTTAACGGTGAATTTCATGAAAGCTGAGTCGAAATACTTCATTATGATTACCCTAATCTTGCCAGGGAAATTGAAAAAGTCAAGAGCCATTCCTGTTAATTGATGTGGGACTGACCCATATGCGTTGGCAAGATCAAGCCATACTACATGGAGTTGTTTTTTTTTTCTTTTGGCTGATAGTATGGAGTTCCATATCATTTGTGCATGCTCCAGACAACCAGGGAAGCCAGGTATCCCAGCCTTCTGGACAGATGTGTTGATGTAATCATTTCCTATAAGAAAATCTGTCATGCGACGAGTCAGAGTCAGTCGTTCACTTTCTGAGCGACTGTTCGGTTTAACTCTCTTCCTACGGGCGGGAGGAACCCGAAGGAGGCTACGCCGAAGGGCGGAGTTTTCTTTCTGGGAGGTAAAACCGGCCCAGAACCCGTATATGCGGGTTCAAATGGGCTATGTTTTGGCCGAGCCTAATGGCTCGGGAATGCCCACGTTAAAAAGGCCTTGTGCCACATGACACCCTCGTGGGGGGGGGTGACTGAATATTGTCATGCGACGAGCGAGGACTCCAAAAAATATTTTTCCTTCTACATTAAGGAGGGATATGGGGCGAAAATTGGAAATGCCATTTGAATCCATCTCTTTAGGTATCCAAATCCCATCAGGCAAACACCATTCTTGTGGTACAATATTCTGCTTCCAAACCCGCTGAAGGAGGACAGTAAGTTTCCTAAGAACACATGGGCAGTTTTTATATAGTTTATATGATATCCCATTCATTCCAGGGGCACTACCAGCGCGTGCCTTTCGGACAAAATCTCGGACTTGACTTAATTTTATCCCACTATCATCAAACATAACTGTCGGATCTTGAGGTCTTGGTAAATATATATATAGACTGGGTGACACACACACACACAGACACATATATATATATATATATATATATATTTATTTAAAAAAAATGACAATAGGAAAACTAGTAATTGCTGACGCGTTTCGTCCAATGTGGATTTTATCAAAGCAAAATACGAAATGAATTTAATTGAACAAGGTAACTAAGAAAACGTGCGGAGAATATTGTCATTATACCTGGTTGAAAATATTGTCATATTGTTATTATAACTGGTTGAAAATGGTTGAATACATCAACACAGTTATAATGACAATATTCTTCACACGTGACAAATACTGGCGCTATTTTCAGTTAACAACATGAAAATAGCGTTTCTCTACATTCCAGTTGCTAGGAAGATTCTGTTTTTTGTTTTTCTGAGTTGCCTTGTTCAATTAAATTAATTTCGTATTTTGCATTGATAAAATCCACATTGGACGAAACGCGTCAGCAATTACTAGTTTTCCTGTTGTCATTTTTATTCATAAATATTGTCTTCTACTGGATAAATCGGAGAAAAATATATATATATATATATATATATATATATATATATATAAAAAGGTTTAAACACTAATATTCCATGGTCATAATTTATTCCACTGGAATCGTAAATACGATCCAATTCATCAGACCTACAAATTCAAAAAGAAAATAGTAAAAACAACTCCGGAAATAAAAAATAAAATTTAATGAGAGTGTATGTATGAGAATGTGGGACGAATTTTAGAGTAAATGAAAGCTATAGAGAGGGGTAACGGACAAGAGAAGAACAGGAAGGTCTAAAGATGAAGGGGGGAGTAAAATTTAACAGAGAGAAGTTTTAAAGAGGGGAGTCAAAGAGGATTTAAGTGAGAGAAATATGAATATTCTAGGAAGTCTAATACGTTAAAGATGTAACCGGAAAGGATACATTTTGTGGTGACATACACCCACAATAGACGATCTAATCTTAAAGATCAGAAGATGAGAGAGGGAGAGGAAAAAAAGAGAAAAAGGAGTGGAGGTAGAGAGATGGGGCGAGGGAAACTAAAACAGAAGAGCATTTATAAAAGGGCCGCATGTGTAATTAAGAACATTTTACAAAATTAATATCGACTACAGGTTACAAATCAAATATAAACATATAAAAAAAAATATAACGATTATCTAATCTAGCAAGGACCTATATTTCTATGTTCAAAAACACATGCGTATACACACATACACAACAACATATTTATATTTACACGTACATACATACATATAGGTGCGTACACACATACATCTACATATATATATATATATATATATATATATAGATATAGATATAGATATAGATAGATAGATAGATGATCACTGCGAGCGGATTTTGAGTAATGCCATGACTTTACTGATCCTAAAATACGGGCAGTGTAGGTCTGGCCTATTAGTCTTGCTAGGGTCTTACATTCCTTCTTTCAGATGCACCAATGTTGGGCACCCTCTTGCGGTTTATATTACAGTGAGTGAATTTTGGGGACTAATAAACCTAATGTTTTCAGTTCCCCATTTTTTACCAAAGCTCATATTACAATTTTTGTTATTGTTGTTTTTCTCTAGCTCTTTGTATTCACTTACTGATGTCGACAAGAAAGCACAGCCTAGCGGATAAAATCGTTTTTGGAAGTAATCCAAATGTCACTTGACCCAAAGCGTCGTGTGTTCAATACCTGGCCTTAACAAAGGTAAGCAAAAACATGCGGTGTTGAGTTATTAAGGTATAACCTGAGATATCCAGGAAAGGCATGGCACGTGGAACTAGAACAATCTAACTCCGTGGACTAAATAAAGGTTTCAGTTCGAAATTAAAAAATAGATCACCTGAAGAAGGCCGAGGCGTACAACGGCCGATCAATATAATATACTGTAAATAGTTACAATAACTCCTCTCAGAAATACAGACAAATACATATATGTATGATGGTTGCAGCTCGTTGTCAAGTATACTCATCAAAAGATATATTTGTAAAATATATTATAATAGATACATGATAGCTGTCAAATCGTTAGAGTATGACCATTGCTGACAACTTTGAACCATGATTTTAGTTCTCCCAAAGGTTCCTGAAGCCAACAAGTGACTTGGATTGCTTATTGCCCACGGAGCAAACCCCTTTTTGTTTCTGTACGGGGCCTGATCTGATTCGTAAGTTTTAAATACATATATATCTGGTGTAACAGCAAAATTGTCCAAATCGTGTAACTGAATAATTATCGACCTAGAGAAATGTTTAATACCTACCTAAAAAAAAAAAAAAAAACCAAAACAACTAAACTTTCTTTTTTCCAGGTTTAAAGATAAGACTTGTCGCCATCTTGTCACCATTTGTCGTAAGAATCCCTGAAAAAGAAACCACTTTGGACTAAACAGCCAAAAAGAGAACAATTTGCAATCGTTTTGTGTCAGCCCAACTGTCTTACCAGCTGAGCAATTGTGAGAGGAAAAAGATCATTCAGGCTTTTAATAATGGCACCAATTCTAGTTCCATCCACTCAAGAACCATCAAGAGAACTGTGAATAAGTTTTGAAAAGTTGGAACAGTAGAGAGGAAAACAGGATCAGCAGGTCACAGCAGTTATAGGGGGTCATCATTTCAACTTAGAAAACATCCAACTCAATTTATAAGACGAGTGACATGAAAGAAAAGAGATTCAGCTATGACAGTTCAAAGAGCAGTGAAAAAAGGCGTAAAAAATGAAATCACACGTGAAACCTCTGAGGCAACTTGTTACTCCAGGACAGAAAGTTAGGTTAGAGAGGGCGAAGATCATCTTGAATAGGTTGAATATATATATATATATGTTTGAACTTTATTTCAATCCTTCATGAGCTTCCTATCCTTAGATAGGATTAATTAATGATGTCATTTTCGTTTATGATCGATTTCATCACGAAACGTCTGTTAAACTTAGAGTGTAATTATACATTCATATTGCTCAAAATAGATTCCAATCGCAACATATCTTGGAAAATTCCGGTGAGATATTTTTAATCATTTTCAAGATACAACAGTTCAGCGCTCAATTTAACAATTGGACAATTTTGCTGTTACACCCGGTACACACTGAGATAGATAGATAGATAGATAGATAGATAGATAGATAGATAGATAGAACCCTCGCCAAAAGTTACGACCATACTGATAGAGGCAAGGAGTGATGTAAAAAGAAGAGATATTAAAAAAACTAAGATAGATAGATAAAAACTGGATGTTATATGTAGCTAGCTATCACATACAGTTTTTAACAAGATAGATAGATAGAACACTCGCCAAAAGTTACGAACATAGTGATTGAGAGAAGGAGGTATGTAAGAGGAAGAGTTATTAAAAAACTAGGATAGATAAAAACTGGATGTTACAGCTAGCTAGCTATCACGTAGAATTTTTGACAAGCTATCTATCTATCTATTTATTAAAGACATTTTTATGTTTAACGTTCTTTTTTATTTAAGTAAATGCTCTGTTTATAATAAACAGCATTAAATAACATTTACCGGCCTGAATGTCTGAGACATTTTCATAGAAAATATTCGTTCTTTGACAGGATTCGAACCTGCATCCTATACGGAACCGTCATTTACGCTGACGTGCCTTACCGATCGGCCACAAAGGAGCGTTCGGTAGGCAAGGTCGAATTTACTGTGAACTACAGAAATGAATGTCTTGATGGTGTTTTCATTTTTTGGGTTTTTATTCACATGATTTTTGGCCAGTCCTTGTGTGGGTCAAACAATCTCTTTTAAGTTGTTATTTAAGATAAGAGTTGGATGGATTATGCTGAGACAGATAGATAGATAGATAGATAGATAGATAGATAGATAGATAGGAACAGGCTGAGATAGATAGATAGATAGATAGATAGATAGATAGATAGATAGATAGATAGATAGGAACAGGCTGAGATAGATAGATAGATAGATAGATAGATAGATAGATAGATAGATAGAATCATTTTTCGCATGCTGCCACAAATAATTTTCGTTGTTAGTTACGATATTCTCATATTGAAAAAAAAATAATTGTAACGAAACAAAAACAATTCATTCAAATGTCAGATTTGGTTTTGGTCGGCATGTCACGTGACTTCAGGCCACGTTTGGGAATCACATTTCATTGGTTTGTGTTAAATATCGTCACTGCCCGACCAGGAAGAAAAAGTAAAATTTCAGAAAAACAAAACAGAATTTTTTTTTTCCGGTCGGCACACATAGTTTGTCCTAATCTTCGCCCAAAAGTAAGTGACTCGTATGTGAAACAACGTAATGTCAAGCCTTGGAATAAATGGTAATCAGGAAGACAAGACTGATCAGAAACGAAGAACAAAGAAAAATATGGAAAACATTTTAAAAAAAAAAATGATTCCAACTGGAATATTTGCCAGATGCCACGCCCTTTTGTTAACAAACGTCATTGCAATAAGATAGCAGAATGTGGAATTTCTTTTGCTTCTAATGTCTGGTTATTCTTCCAGAATCACATTTTTGAAATATATTTTTCTTGGAAAGTATTTGATAAGGAATTGATGACATATATATATATATATATATATATATATATATATATATATATATATATATATATATATATATAATATAATATAATATATATATATATATAATTTTAACGTCATATATATGTATATATATATATATATATATATATATATATATATATATTATATAATATATATATAATTTAACGTATATATATATGTATATATATATATATATATATATGTATATATATATAATATAATATATATATATATAATTTTAACGTCATATGCATATATATATATATATATATATGACGTTAAATTATATCGTGATCTAAATTTCTCTACGTGTTTCTATTTTCACACAGACACACATCCGAACACACATACAGTTCTCCAGACAAGTATATGCATATATACATAAAGCACACACACAAACAAATATTTATATATATATATATATATATATATATATATATATATATATATATATATATGTATATACGTGTGTGTCTGTGTGTGTGTATGTTTGTGTGTTTGTCTGTTTTGTGTGTATATACATATATACTTGTCTAGATAAATTTAACGTCATAATATAAGGATAACGCATATAGATATACAGACACACGCATATATATATATATATATATATATATATATATATATATATATATATATTATATATATATATATATATTTGTTGGATAGATGTGAGTTTGTGACCCGGGGTTTCACGCTTTTATGATCGTCAGACAAACTCTAAGCTGAAAATCAAATCATCCTTGATAATGGCTAAAGATATAGCCGAAAGCGCTCGGAAATATAAAACATTCGGACAGTTCTTACACACCCTTTGTCCAGAAAAGAAAGCTCTTGTCAGAACACAGGAAAAATTAAATAAAAAGCTCAACCGTAGTATCTTGTCTGTCGTTTTTAATGAAACATGCATAAAGGAATGATTGCTGCCTAAATATACAACTATATATATATATATATATATATATATATATGTGTGTGTGTGTGTGTGTGTGTGTATTCGATCCCGGCTTGAAGCAAATGTATGTCTAGTCACACTGATGAGCTGTGAAACAGCGAAACAGTCTGTATCTGGATGACAATATATGCGCACCCGAAAAACCTAAATTCGGTTGTGTACTCTTGGAAGGTAAGTGCAAATTTATAAACAATGACTAGTGCTATTATTATTGCAAAGCTCTTCCCGAATTGAGCACACTCAGTCATTGGCGTTTGTATTCACAAAAAAAGTATGTAAAAATTCGCCTTTCTTTCAACCGTGCGCCGATGGCTTAGGGGGAAATCTCCGACTGCTACCGATTCAGTCGGTTTTCGATCCCAGCTTAAAGTAATCGGATATCTAGCCACAATGATGAACTGTGAAACAGCGAAACATTCTGTATCTGAATGACAATACAATATATATATATATATATATATATATATATATATATATATATATGTGCCCAATACATAAGTAGAGCCTAAATTATAATTATCTTTTAAAAATATGATTCCATCGCTACATAAGAGTTCTCATGTTTCAAAAATAGAAGCTAAAAACAGCTCTATTTCATCCTCAAGCGAATTTTGAATAACTTATCTTGAAATTTACAGAGCTTTATATGTGTATGCTTATAAAGCTCTGTAAATTATAAATATATATATATATATATATATATATATATATATATATATATATATATATATATATATTCAAATTTAATTATATAATTAAATTAAAAGGATTATTTTTGTTTCATCTTCAAGCTAATTTTGGAATCAAAAATTAGCTTGAATACGAAACAGAACTAATGCTTTTCATTTAATTAAATAATTAAGTTTTTAGCTTCAGTTTTTGAAACATGTTAATTCCTGTGTAGCAAAGGAACCATATTTTAAATCAGTTTATTTATGATATTTATGCTCTGTAAATTTTCATTGAAAACTGTTTTGTAAAAATAAAAATATCAATAAGAACACCGGATGTTTTTTCCTTATTATAATATATATATATATTGTTTGTATATATATATATATATATATATATATATATATATTATAAATTAATTGATTTAAAATATGTTTTTTTTCGCTACACAGTTCTAACCATGTTTCAAAAATGGAAGCTAAAAGCAGCCACGAATTTAAATTTTGCAATTAAATTAAAGACATTAGTTCCATTTAATCCTCAAGCGAATTTTGGAATAACTTTTAAAATTACTGGGTTTTAAAGACACAGCTACATATATATATATATATATATATATATATATATATATATATATATATATACAAACAATTTTGATTAAAAAATGACGACAAGGTCTGTCTGTTTAATTTTTTATTATACTTTTCCAACTTTCGGATTAAGTATTGAGTATTATCTTCGAAGTTGTAGATAAAAGATCCCAAGTTCATACTTTGGTATTTTAGTTCAATAACTTTCGGCTTTCTAGTGATGGTCATAAACCGATGTGATATCTGCGTGGTTCTAGATAAAGTCGAAAGTACCCGAAAGAAAATAACGAAATATGAACTTCGGGCAATTTATCTTCAACGTCGAACAATACTGAACATCTTATCCGAAAGTTGGAAATCTTATTATAAAATCCAGATTGTGTGTGTGTGTGTGTGTGTGTGTGTGTGTGTGTGTGTGTGTGTACGTTATATATTGGATCGGATTTCCTACATTTTTCAACCGATTTCAACAAAACTTCACAGGACTACGTAAAATTACCTTGCGGTGGTTCTAACAGTGCCAAATATTGGAAAAACACAATTGTTTTTGCACAAAATCAATTTGAAAACACGATTAAGAGGCATCGCGAGAATGAAAGGGGGGACAACTCATATCGAGTTATATTTATTATGAAACCCAGGTTGTTTTTGTGTGTCTGTGTTCGTTTATATATGGGATCGGACTTCCTACATTTTTCAACCGATTTCAACAAAACTTCACTTTTTTTTTTGGCAGGTAGTGTTTCTTATTGTCTTGCACACTTTTTTTTTTTATTTTTACATTCAGAATGCTTTAAAAATTCCATTTACAAGACAATTGTTTATAATAAAATTCTATTCAATCGGTAGAGACTCATAACGATTGAAAACAATGTTTTTGTTTGAGTTTGGGTTTGACCAATTCGTAAAAATAAAAAAATAAAAACTAATTAAAACATGCGTGTCCGTCAACCTTAAACAATAATCTTTGTCAATTTTATTTTTCAGTCTTTATGATGGTCGATACTTGATCTATCTCTTACTGTTACATCCCCGCGCAACACCGGGATCTACTGCTAGTGAAAAATAAAAATTAAACTTTTCGTCGGAAGTGGAATAAATGCTTCTCCCCATATAAGATGAGAGAAGGCACCCAGTCCCGAGAATTGAAAATCTGCGATCGATGCTAGCGTTGCAGTGGTTGCGTGAACTGAAGGAAATTTGTGTCCTTTTCCCATATACATACATATATGTATATCGTTCCTCACATACCCCCCCAAAAAAAAAATCAATCTTGTGTCACAACCTGCCTCAGTGGGGAAGTTGGGTAAATACTTAGATACTTGGCTCTGGTAAAGGGTTTTAACGTTTCTTTTTATTCCTCAAATGAATAATAAATAGGAGTCTATGCCTTATACATATAATTATTTTAATAATAATTACTCTTTGTAACCGTTTACTGTAAGACTACAATTTTTATTTGATTATTAACGTCTGGAAAAATATGTAAATACTCTCTGAAAAATATATTTAACTAAATAATTATATCCCAAATATAATTCCACTTTAAATAATATGAGCCTTGACGCACGTAGCTAATAACTATTGGAATTTTTATTTGATACAAGAAACTGTCTGGAAATATATTCTTTTAACTCAGTCTCATAATTCATATGGGCATCCTACCATGGTATAATACGCAGTATAGTCGTTGGCACGGTGATAAACTTCATCCAACAGCAAGGACTGTGATTGGAAGATTGGAGGTTGTGTGGAGCGTGGAACCACGACTTGATTGCTGTTGCTCCCAAGTCCACTCTCACGGGTGGTGGTGACTCCTGTTAGGGTCCCAGCTATGGGCAAATAGGGATCCTTCCCCCCCCAAACAAAAACAAAACACTATGAAATTATAACAATACATTTTTATAGTAAAAACACCAGCAATACATTTTTATATTGAAAAACAAAATGACCAACAATACATATTTATAGTAAAATAACCAACCATGTTACCTGCAGATGAAGGCATACAATTGCGTTCAAAATATTTAAATTTCAAATTAAATAACCCATAGAGGTGTTGACATGCCGCTAAACAAAACCAACCAAAATGAAAGAACTCTTTTATGACATTAATCCTTAAATTATCCTAGAATTTCTTAAATCAAACTTTATTCTAAAATATAACGTCAACAAAACTACAACATAAAACACATATTAGCGCTTCTAGT